ATATTGGAAATTATATAGAAATGAAATGCATGAAAATAACTTATTGTATTATGTTCTAAAGTGAAAAAATTTTTAATGAAACACTTGACTTTTTTACATGTATATAAATGTATAGATACATTTCTTTCATAGGCAAACAAAAATGGTTCAGGATGGAAAGATCATTGCTGAATCTGCACCTCTCACGTCAAATAGTGCAGGACATGATAGAATGTCACATACTTTAGTGTTTTATGTTAATGGCAAAGAGGTATGTACACATTGTATATTGTATCATATATTGAATTTACAATATGCATGCATGTAAGAAAAATCAAACACCTATATTTGTGATACATTCTTATCATCTAATTTTAAGAATGTTTATTTTGCTTTGCAAATAAATTATTGATATTAAAATTAATAAATTCTTTGATAAATGTGTCTAAATGTACATATAAAAAAAGTGCAAAGAATATGTATTTGCATTCTAAACCTGTTCTGCTACTGTTCTATCTATTGTATCTATTAATTCCAAGTTGCCTTTTAATGAAACAACTTTACTATAAATATTTATATAATATATGTTATGTAAAATTATTTATCTTGATTATCTTTTATTCCTATTTGAATAATTCAAAAAAGAAAAATTTAAAAATATGCATTTTACAAATTTTTATCTTATATTACAAATGTCATAAATACAAATATAGGTGGTAGACGACAGTGTTGATCCAGAATGGACTTTGCTGTGGTATTTGAGGAATAAGTGTATCCTTTTTTTTTATTTAAAAAATAAATATTTCGTATATGTTAAGAACAAAAAAAATACATTATTCTAATTACATAAACGATTAATATTTATGTGTTGAAACGTATAAAAATTGTAATTTTTTTTTCTTAATATTTAACATTTATTAATGTCGATTTTTCATTATCGACATTCATACAATCTCGTTACGCCATGCACAAACATTGAAACTTGATACTTGCTGAATAATATAAACAATCGTAGGATTAGAATTCATTGGAAGTAAACCTTGAATAAATTAATCTCTATAAGTACATACATTGCGTGATAAAAGTTCTTTCTATTGCTCTTGTTTTGAAAATAATACCTTTAAACACTGAATAGTTAAAAGTAATTTGTCGATTACAAAATCAACCTCGATTACAAGTAAACCTCTAAATCTATGAAATTTCGAAATAAAGAACGATATTAAAAATCAATAAGAACTTACTGTGACATATTCATTACTATTATAAATAGTCGGCGGAAGATGAAGATTAATTGAAAATGAACTTAGAAATTTTAAAGCACAAATGAGGGAAGATTCTTAACTCAAATAATTTAGTAAATTTAACCGGCACAAAACTGGGTTGTGCAGAAGGTGGTTGTGGAGCGTGTACCATAATGATATCAAAATTAGATCGTTCAACAGAAATTGTTACGTATCCTTTTCAATAAATTCAAAATCATTTCCTTCATAGTTAGATCATCGAAAGTAATAATGTACATTGCATTACGTTCGATTAGAAGAAGAAGAAATTCTCTTTCGAAATTTATTCTCATCATAAAAAATCATAGTGTGGTATAGTGAACATGAAAATAATATTTTCCTTGATCGTCTAATTTATTAAATTACAGACATTTAGCAGTAAACGCCTGTTTAACACCGGTTTGTGCTATGCATGGTTTAGCGGTAACCACTGTCGAAGGTATTGGAAATGTTAAAACGAAACTTCATCCGGTACAAGAACGCATAGCAAAAGCACACGGGTCACAATGTGGTTTTTGCACACCTGGGATCGTGATGTCCATGTACGCATTACTACGAAACACTCCTAAACCAAGCATGAAGGATCTCGAAATTGCCTTTCAAGGTAAATAATTATGATCACTTATGACATGGCTTCTATGAACTTTGTGATTGAATTTATAGTTAAGATCCTTTTTTTTTTTTTTTTTTTCCGCCTGAACAGGGACTCGAACTCTGGGACCTTCAAAAGATTAAGTCTGATGCTTTACCGACTGAGCTATTCCTACTATCGTTAAGATCCTCAATGAGTTGCTCATGCCAACAAGAAATACTAAATGTACTTCATTTATGACTTTTTCTATTCGAGAAGCTGTTCGTGAAATGAATCAAAAGGAATATGTCTATATTTTTGCACTTTTGATGAAATTAAAGTTATTCTCAAAACTTACGTAACTACATAGTTAACTAAAAATTTATTATATTGTATTATATTAAAACTGTAGTTTTCTTTTTTCTCTTTTTTGAAGTATTTCACTGTATGTTTCTCAATTATTTACAAAAGAATATTCGAGAAAATTTAAAGATGTTTTTGGAAATGAATGATTAACAGATTTAATGTGAGTTACACAGTTTATGCTTCGATCCAATTGCCCTACTTGATAATAGTTAGGAAGCTGCTGATGTTAAATCGTTTTTAGGTAGTTTTAATACTTGATCTTTCTGTCGTGTACCATGATTTCTTGATTTTCTGTGTGTGTACCATCAGTCGTTTTTGTCTGAATAGTCTATCTCATTTTTGCATTCTGTCTTTTTATGAAATTAATTTTTCTTTAATGCTGTGTACTATTATTGTACAGAGTTATTAAGTTTATTAACTGCAATACATTGAAAGAGACTCGAAGAATTCGTGGCTGAAGTCGAGAAATATTTCATAAAAGCAAAGATAAAATTGGCAAAGAATCGGAATAGCAAATGGCAAAATAAGCCGAGTTAAATTTTATAAAATAGTATTGAAAGAGAAGAAGTTAATGAAAAAGAACATGAAAAATAATTGTTACAGACAACGTACTCTTTTGTTTAAATGGTACTCACTCAAGTAAACAAGATTCTGAAGGAGAAAAATGCTATAGTGTCCCGAAAACTTTGGGATTGAAAATTATGTTATAAAAAATTATGTATAATAAAAAATGTCTTTTTTAATGTCCATGTTAATCATGTTAAATTAATGGTCATTAATTTCAGCTTCCTGAGTATTATTATTACTTAATAAACGAAATAAATCTAAGAGCAGAATCAGTTCACAAAAAGACTTTTTCCTTCAGAATTTAAGAGTTTGTTTCATATTTTAATTTTAATTTTTTTATTTTAGTTTAAATATAATGATTCTTTAATCATTTTTAACTGACTTTCTCTATTTGTAGGAAATTTATGCAGGTGTACAGGATATCGGCCTATCATAGAAGCTTATAAGACCTTCACGGAAGAATGGGAAACGATGCAAATGATGTCAAAAAGTAACGAAAGATCTTTAACAAATGGAGGATGCCCCATGGGAGAGAATTGTTGTAAAAAAATACCAATAGCAGAACCAACGGAAGTTTTTAATTCGGAAGAATTTCGACCATATGATCCTTCTCAAGAAATTATATTTCCACCTAAGTTACATGTAAATTATTTATTTAACATTAATTTTATATTAATTTATTTGACCTTAACATTTCTTTTTGATATATTAAATAAAATTTTTTTTAGATTTCTAAGCATCTAGATGAAGAGTATTTAATAATAAAGGGAAAGAACGTCACATGGCATAGACCAAAAACTCTTAGTGAATTACTGCAATTAAAAGATCGATATCCAAATGCAAAAATTGTTGTAGGAAATACAGAGATAGGTAAAATTTAGTTATTTAAAAATCATTTGATACAGTTATAAAAATAAGTATAATGAGAATACCAAACTTATTATTTATACTTTCAGGGGTTGAAGTTAAATTTAAATATCTGTCTTATCCAGTTCTTATACAACCTACCTCAATCAAAGAAATGCATACTATTGAAGAATATCCAAAAGTATTGAATGTTGGTGCTAGTACCACACTTGTTGAGATGGAGAAAGCTTTACAAAATCAAATTACCACAAAACCTGGTATATATTCCTACATTTATTTCACATTTTGTATTAGAAAATATTATTAGTTTAATAAACCATATTTCATTATTATTATAGAATACCAAACAAGAATTTTTAGTGAAATAGTAAATATGCTTCATTGGTTTGCTGGCAAACAAATCAGGAATGTTGCTGTAAGTTATCTGATT